CGACAGTTAGGCAAAATGAACTCACCAAAATGAATTTGTAGACACACAATGTAGACATATGCCAAACAGTTTACTCTGCCTATTTGATGGAAAGGTGTATGCCTTTACTTTTAATACTTTGATACTCTGCCATTACCAGAATGGAAAAGCCATCAAACATTGTGTTCCCTCCAAAAAATGCAGTTTTGCCAGAGGTAACACTGCCACCACACAAGCATTTTGAAAGAGCAGCTGCTTCAATTTCTGTCTCTATTTATTTTCTATCACCTACCGACAGCATTTTAACTGTGTCTTCACTCAACCATTATCTAGTTATTGAAATGGTACTAAAAAGAAGTAGCAAGTCAGCTGCACCATCTCATAAGGAAAATAAAACTTAGATACTCGTTTCATACTTGTTTCTGTCTCTTTGTTTAGACAACATTTTTAAGGCTCAGGGATGCTGACAAATATTTCCAGTAATATGCTTTTGTTGTAACTAATAACCTCTCTGTGTTTTGGTGCTTGTACACAGCTCCTAGCACTTTCAAATATTTCATAATTAAGGACTTCATCTCAAGTGCTGTAGTCTTTAAAGGGTGTGTTTGTGGCTTGCACAGGCAGACCTGAACATGCTCTGCCTGCACTCTACACAGATAGGAATGAATTTTGTGGAGAGCAAAGTACATTAGCTCCAGCTCAGCACCTTGCACATCATTTTGTTTTCAGCAAGCTCACAAGCAGAAGCTTGGAGAACAGACCAAAGAAAAAATAAATCATATCTGCCAGGAAAAGCACTATAAGATTCAGCTGTGCTATGAGATCATACTTGCCAAAAAAAATACAACTGGCATTCAAGTTAATGGCACTGAAGCAAACCGAAGAGATGAAGTCTGAAAGAAAACTTCAGGAGAGGCTGCAGAGTTCCTTCAAAATAGATTGTTGATAAACTGATCCAAATACCCAGTATATTTGCTCTGAGTTGAAAACTTGTGTCATGTAGAGGACAATTCTGCCGAATCAGTAAGAGCTAACAAATCACTTTTCAGGGCCATGAAATTTGAGATGAGAAATTTGGATTAGGGTTGGAATGTCTGTGGGGCAGCATCCAATCTAAACTTTAAAAGCAACAGGCCTCATATGAGAAATGGGCATCATGCCTAGCCTCAGGCTTTGGGAGGGGCTGAACTCCCTGAAGTCCTCAGGATTGCCACAAGACACTCAGGAATTTCAATTGTCAGTGCAACAGATACTGCTCACTGCCAGCCTCAGACGGCAGCCACCACAAGCTCAAACACATTACCCAGCACGGACTGATGTTTCAGCGCCTGCCGACATGAATCTTTTCCTCAGCTTAATTTACATGATGAAAATCTAGGCTTTAACTATCTTAAATATGAAACTGATTAATGCAACTGAATTACAGCAGTTTCTATTACTTAGTCTAATAAAAAATCCTATTTCTCTTTGAATGGCTCTACTCTGAATTTCTGCTGCGCTTTCATTTCCAACTGGATTACACAATCACACTGTGGTGCTTACTGCAGGTTTTTGCTATCTAGGCAGTAGATACAGAGATCCTCAAGAAATCAAACTTGGCATTACACTTCTGCCACAAAAATACAAACAAAAAAACCCAACCAACAAACAAAAGCAGACAAACCACATACTTAAAAGTTTGTGCCATTTCAAAATTCATTCTAGGGTTCAACTACTACAGCTATTGTTTCGGGATGTTTGGAAACATTGCTAGTCTGCTTGCCATTTTGAATGCCTAAAGCCATTTGAATGCCTAATACCATTTTGAAAAGCCAAAGCTCAACTGCCAATGCAGTCTCACTCAGGAAGGGCCCTCCAAAGACAACTTTTCCAGCCCCAAAAATGGAGTTAAGAAATCTGGAGATCAGGTAGCTATTGTGAGAAATCTCAGGGCTTAAACTTTCTTGTTGCAGACATATATGCCCAAAGGCAAGAGTCAAGAGTTATTTAAAACAGCCCTGGGGTAGTTTTCTGCTCCTCTCCCCACATTTAAATGAGTTCTTAAAGAAATCCAAAGTTCCCCATTTTTTTCCTGATAATAACATGAGGTTTGCACACTCTGCAGTATCAAATTTCAGAATGGGAAACTAAAATTAGGTTTGTAATGAGACTCCAGTACCCTTTTTTCTGACTCTTCGCTATAAAACCTTCTACACTGATAGCAAGAGTGAGAACAAGCACTTCTTCCTGGAACGGATTTTAAACTAATCGCTTCGCACCATTAAATGCAACCTGAGAAATACGCTGCTAGTTCTTTCCTCGCCTCAGTCTCATGAATTCAGATCTATTATTCTCCATAATAGCCTGTGGTTTCAGCTCACCAGGGGCTCCGAATATTGAACGTGCAATAAAAGCCAGTTATCTGCTCAAGGGAATCTCATGACAACGGTGTTGGGTACCTCAAGGTGACACTTGTGTGGCAGTGAGGCAAATTGCCACGTGTATATCAGTACTCTTCACCAAAACCCACTGTGTAGGTGATAAAGCATTCGATATGGCACAACGAGCTCCACAGCTAGGGGCTTAACAATCAAAACCCAGTTGTGGTAAAAGCTTTTTAGTTCTGAACTGAAGGCAGAAGTACTGCAACAGGAGTGTTGTGCTGCGTTTTCATTCAGTTTCAAGCAAACACCTTAAAGGTAAATTAAAAGGAGAACCATTTGCTACGTTTTTCCCTCCCCACTTCATGAGAAAACACTTCCGCTTTGTACAGAGTATTATGTAATCCCCTTCATAGCCCTGTGAAATAACAGATTTAAATAAGAAGCACTCATTGGTGATACTACTGTGCCATCTAACAAGATGCCGAAATGTGTTTTTGAAGTGCAAATAAAACTAATTTCTCTGAAGTTCTGCATAATTTCAGCCATTAGCATTTCAAAAATCCCTCTGGCACGCTGCCTAATTAAATGAATATTAAACCTTCTCTCATTCCACTGAGGAATAGAACAAAACAAAGGGACAGCTGTATCGCTGCTGAGCTTCTTTTCTGTAAACTAACTTCAACAACGTGTGAATAATTCAAGTATTTGACATATTTTCTATGAGGACTTCAGCTCTGTACTTAAAAAGACGTTTACAGTCTCCACGATAGCTTCATCAATACACCTGTCTTTTCAAAGAGACATTTTTCCAGTCATCATCTTCTCTTCAGGCACTTAAAGCCTAAGGGCATCAGCTGTTGCTAGAATCGTAGAAGTGAACACTGGGATATTCCATTTCCTAATACAAGTCTAGAAAGTCCAGAAAGATGAGCATTGGAGTTGGACCACTACCTTAACATTTAAATAAAACAACCTGTTTCTTCTACTGGTTCATCTTCCTTTGTTGGTTGCAATTACTCTGATTGGGTGAATAAAGGGAAAACAAAAAAGAAAAGGGAGGGAGAGGGACAAA